GATATACAGTGAACACTGTATCATAACACTGGAGATTGGTTATTTAGAAATTGTGGTAGCTTCATGCTAAACTGCACATGGGCCCATGAAGGCAGACTAGAAATTTCTTTTAAAAGCACATTGCATCACCCCAATATCAATGAAAATTTATAATTAACACAACCCAAAGCACTAAAAACTTAAGTCAATTTTTAGCAAAATTGTTAAGTGACAAGAAAGCAACACCTAATAATTGGCCAACTTGGATGTATCATCTCACTTGACAAGAGACCTAAGTTATCTACTACATGCAAGATGAGGAGACCTGAAGTCATCTATTACTTGCAAGATGAGGAGACCTGAAGTTATCTACTACAGTGGAACCTCTACTTGCGAGTGTGTCCACGTGCGAGTTTTTCCAAATACGAGCAGTCGATGGGTCGATTTTTTGCTTTCATACGCGAGCAAAATTTCCACAAGCGAGCAGACCTCAAGGCAGGTTCCTTGATCCTGGTGAGGGGCTCTTGCTCTTGATCTCGGGAATTGTATCTCATTTGTTTGTTGGACTATCTTATTGAAACTTGGGCAATGTGTGATGGAAAGATGCTTCTTAACGTACACCAAAAATGAAAGAAATCTAAGCATAAATAATGGAGTTCACTTCTCAGCAATTAGCCACCAATTTGCGGTAATTTCGAATGATTTTTATGGTTGTATTCTCGTTTTTTTGGTCTCGTTTGATAGAATGGAGATATATTACAGAAATAGATATGATTTTAATTGCTTTCATAACGAAAAGTACCTTGAAATAGAGCTCAACCTAGAAGAAATGGTCCATTGCTTGGCTGTTTCAGAGTGAACAAATGACGTCACTGTCCATTCCAATATGCAGTCGTGAATGGGTTGACATTATTTATACAATTATTGCAATAAGGAATAACAGTAAATCTTATAATTTTTGTGTGAATAAAAATTACAATTTATATAATAATAATAATAATAATATAATAATAATAATAATAATAATAATAATAATAATAATAATAATAATATGTATAATAATAATATTAATAATAATAATAATAATAATAATAATAATAATAATAATAGTATAATAATATAATACAATAATAATAATAGATGGCTTCAAAAGGCTGTCACTAGATGGCAGTGTTTACCACAACAAAGAGGGAGCGGTTATGGCCGCCTCCACCTGTTACATAATGACATACAGTGGACCCTTGACCAGCGATATTAATCCGTTCCTGAGAGCTCATCGTTTATCGAAATTATCGTTAGTCGAGTTAATTTTCCCCATAAGAAATAATGGAAATCAAATTAATCAGTGCAAGACACCCAAAAGTATTGAAAAAAAAATTTTACCACATGAAATATTAATTTTAATACACACAAACTGAAGAAGACATGCACAGTTACATGACACTTACCTTTATTGAAGATCTGGTGATGATTGATGGGATGGGAGGAGGGGAGAGTGTTGATGGTGTTAGTGTTTAGAATGGGAATCCCCTTCCATTAGGACTTGAGGTGGCAAGTCCTTTTTTGGGGTTACTTCCCTTCTTCTTTTAATGCCACTAGGACCAGCTTGAGAGTCACTGGACCTCTGTCGCACAACATATCTCTCCATAGAGGCCTGTACCTCCCGTTCCTTTATGACATTCCTAAAGTGTTTCACAACATTGTCAGTGTCACAATTAAACACTTGTTCAGGTTTCATTTTTTCACTGTCTATGTACTCCTTGAATTCCTGCACATATTTTTCAGCTGCTTTTTGGTCCAAACTGGCAGCCTCACCATGCGTTATCACACCATGTATGCCACTACGATTCTTAAATCTCTCAAACCAACCTTTACTGGCCTTAAATTCACTCACATCACCACTAGTTGCTGGCATTTTTCTAATTAAATCCTCATGCAACTTCCTAGCCTTTATGATCGCTTGAGAGATGCTATCTCCTGCTATCTGTTTTTCGTTTATCCACACCAATAACAGTCTCTCAACATCTTCTATCACTTGCGATCTCAGTTTCGAAAACATAGCTGCACCTTTGGCAAGAACAGCTTCCTTGATTGCCATTTTCTTGGCCAGAATAGTAGCGATGGTTGATTGGGGTTTTGTGTACAACCTGGCCAGCTCGGAGACACGCACTCCACTTTCATACTTAGCAATGATCTCTTTCCTCATATCCATAGTAATTCTCACCCTTCTTGCTGTAGGGTTGGCACTAGAAGCTTTCTTGGGGCCCATGGTGACTTATTTTGCAGGTGCAATCACTAAAAAGGCTGTGATAATATGAAATGTTCCGACTGTATGCTTGGAAGCGACCGCGGTGGCTGGCTGGCTTGTAAACACTGGCCAGAAGTGGACGCGTCTCAGACGGAACGAATAGTGTTGGTCGAGTTTTTTAGCGCTAGTCGAGGCAAAATTTTTGCGTTAAAATGTATCGCTGGTCGGATTTATCGTTAATCGATGCCATCGTTGGTCGAGGGTCCACTGTATTTTATTCATTCTAGAGTATATATCATGTTTCTATGTTATTTATATTGTTTGTTATGTCATATTAGATGAACTGTGATATATAAATAAGGCGTATAGATAATATTAGCGAAATTATTCATGAAATATTTTGCCCAGTCTCCATACAAACTCTCGTCAACCGTCGACACCACCCATACCACCACATGAATGACATATTTTATTCATTCTAGAGTATATATCATGTTTCTATGTTATTTATATTGTTTGTTATGTCATAATAGATGAACTGTGATAGATAAATAAGCTGTATAGATGATATTAGCGAAATTATTCATGGAGTATTTTGCCTGGTCTCCAGACAAACTCTCGTCCACTGCCGACACTGCCCATACCACTACATGAATGACGTATTTTATTCATTTTAGAGTATATATCAGGTTTCTATGTTATTTATATTGTTTATTATGTCATATTAGATGAAGTGAGATTGATAAATAAGCCGTAGAGTTGATATTAACAAAATTACTGAAGTACAGAATTCCACTGGAACGGATTAATTGCATTTCAGTTAATTTAAATGAGGAAAATCGACTCTGCAAAAGAGCAAATCCAGTTGCGAGCAAGTTCATGGAACGGATTAAACTCGCAAGTAGAGGTTCCACTGTACTTGCAAGACGAGGAGACCTCAGGTTATCTACATGAAGAAATATATTTTGTTGAGATGTAAAGCACAGCTATATATTTGTGAGTGGTAAGTGAGCCAAGAAACTTATTCACTTTGCAATTAGATTTGTCAATACAGTGGACCCCCGGTTAACGATTTTAATCCGTGCAAGAGGGCTCATCGTTATGCGAAATAATCGTTATGCGAATCAATTTTCCCCATAAGAAATAATGGAAATAAAATTAATCCGTGCAAGACGCCCAAAAGTATGAAAAAATTTTTTTTTTACCACATGAAATGTTAATTTTAATACACACAAACTGAAAAAGGCATGCACAATTACATGACACTTACTTTTATTGAAGATCTGGTGATGATTGATGGGATGGGAGGAGGGGAGAGCATTATCTTCTTACTGTTTAGAAGGGGAATCCCCTTCCATTAGGACTTGAGGTAGCAAGTCCTTTTCTGGGGTTACTTCCCTTCTTCTTTTAATGCCACTAGGACCAGCTTGAGAGTCACTGGACCTCTGTCGCACAACAAATCTGTCCATAGAGCTCTGTACCTCCCGTTCCTTCAAGACTTTCCTAAAATGGGCCATAACATTGTCATTGAAATAGTCACAAGCACGGCTTGCAACAGCTGTGTCAGGGTGATTTTCATCTATAAAGGTTTGCAGTTCAACCCACTCTGCACACATTTCCTTAATCTTTGAAGTAGGCACAATGGATTCCACAACTGGCATAGGCTTCTCGGGTTAGCCCCAAACCCTTCAAAATCTTTCTTAATTTCCATACTAATTCCCACCCTTTTTACCACAGGGTTGGCACTAGAAGCTTTCTTGGGGCCCATGGTCACTTATTTTCCACAAACAGCACCGAAAACACTGTAATAATACGAAATATTCCGAGTGTATGCTTGGATGTTACCGCGGAGGCTGGCTGGTAAACAATGGGACGGCCGGCACATGTGAGGGCACATTGGACGCGTCTCGGACGAAAATCGGTATGCGGGTTTTTAATCGGTATGCGGGGCAAAAATTTTGCGATAAAAGTAATCGTTATGCGGAAAAATCGCTATGCGATGCCATCGTTATGCGGGGGTCCACTGTACGTGTATATGATGGCTGCAGCCATCCTCCTCAGTTACATTCTTATGTTCTAGGTAAAGCCAATGACCTGTATGGAAATGCAGTACATAATGAACATAGTTTGTGGCAGCTATTAAATGTGGATCATTCAGAAGCAAAGTTGGAGAAAAGGTCTCAGCAACTATACCTACCCAGGGATACCCGATGACATTAAATACTACATCAATGCAGCACAAATCCCCTTACCTTGACAAAGTTGCTGACATAAGGATATATCAGAAAAGCTTTAACCCTTAAATGGTCCAAACGTATATATACGTTTTTTCAACATCTGAAAGTATGTAAAAAAATGTAGATCTTTTTTGTTTTACATTTGAAAACGTGTAAAAAAACTTTTATCTACATTTTTTTTTTGTTAAATTTGAAAATATGTAAAAAAAAAGTAGATCTACTGTTGGAGCACTACGAATTTGAACGTCGATCTGCTTGAACTGTTTAAGGGTTAAACATCCATTTTGACATTTACAAAAATGAACCTAAATATTTTGAAAGACTTGAAATTTGATATATTTACCAATCATTATTTTGTTAATTTTTAATACACATGCCTAAGGGTGCAGTATCTGAAGATTTTCTTTTTCACGACAAACACTTTCACAGACCAATATCTACCCCCTCCCCCACTACAAATTTTCACCTATAAACCAGACTTTAGGAAAATGAAGAATGACAGCAATCATATTTAAAACTTTGAGCCTTGTTCTTACTTTGTAGCCATGTCACGTACAGTCAGACAATTTGCTGCATCCAGGTATCTTTCAAGATATTCTGCACAATGCTCTTTTAACTTAGCAATGAGAAGCTTGTTGGCCAGCCGCAAAAGTTCTGCCACATTGGTTTTGTCTACAACAACTGTCCCTGTGTACATATAAGCTAGGAGGCAACGGAATACTTCAGGATCTTGCGAGTTGATGGTCAACTGCTCCTTGACAGTCTTACTGGCTGTAAATGGGACATACAATATACTTCATGAAAACATCAATAAAATAATTTTACAAATATGTACTATAATCATGCAATGCAACCAAATAATACCTATTAAGTCATAATAAAATGTCACCTTCTGCATATCTATGGCTATTGTATTTGAATTTATTAACATACTTTATGTCTCCAATTGAGACAGGGTCATCCAAAAAAGAGGAAGCATTTTTACCATTTTTCAGTCCATGTCTTGCCAGAAGTATGCAGACATTATAGCTCAGATGACCCTCTGAACTGCAACATTCCCACCCCTCCTTCAGAGTGCAGGTACTGTACGTCCCACCTTCAGGACCCAAGTCCAGCTAATCAGTTTCCCTGAACCCTTTCATAAATGTTACCATGCTCACTCTGTGTCAAACTATAAAAATCACTTGCCTCGATTCACTTCTAAGATGCTCACACTAGCCTACTGGATGTCTAAGCCCCAAAGACTCAGAACCTCTTTTACCCCCCTTCGTCCAACCTCTCCTAGGTCATGGACATGTCATCAACACTGTCTTGAAGGAACCAACATGACCAGGTCCTCACTGGATGTTCCAATACATTGCAGAATCCTACTGTTTCCTTTGTTGGATGGCATGCCTTATGTAATCCATTGACCTGTGCAACTGTCTCTTGTGTCAGCATCTCATTCCTGCTCATATTAATTTGTCAACAGCCAAAAATGTACTATGAACTTGGCACTCAAGACCATATGACACAGGGGGAACATGGACATAAAACTGTCCACCATACAAGTCCAGAAGGCACCTAGGATGCAGCCAGTAACCCTAAGGAATCCTGAGAGTTCCCACATCAAGTATCAAGGTGAGCATAACTTTTTTTTGTCTCATCAACAAACCTACCAGGGCAGGGTATTATTTTAGACATGAAGGTATGCCAGGTGATGGTGCACTTAAATGACAAGCACTGTACTTCCTCAATACACCAGGACCCCCGTATCTGTGGGGATACGTTCCAAAGACCTGCCATGGATACCTAAACCTCGGATAGTAGTGAACCCTATATGTGTATACAAGTCATTTTTCATTTACATACATATCTATTATAAAGTTTAACTGATAAATTACACATAATAAGTGTGTAATTTTTCAATTAAACTTCACTTTTTCACTAATGGGAAGCCTTTCAAGGCTTTTCTTAGGCTCTGAAGAAACTTCCACCATCACTACTTTTGTACTTTGAGGCCATAAGTAAGCAAAATTAAGTTATTTTCAGGCCACAGTAAACAGCAAATAACTGAAACCACAGTTAGTGGACCCACAAATACAGGGGTCCTACTGTACTCCCTACCTCCAATCTGATATTCAATCTTTTACTGCCTAGACTTTTTTGTTTCTCTCATCAGCTTGCTCTTTCCTATATTCACCTGTAATTTCATTCTTTCCTTCTTTTATTTGACATACTGAATGCAATTTTTTCAATTCTAAACACATAATATAGTATGTACTGTAACACCTGTACATCAGAATATGACTTACTCTAATCTAAATAAAAATCTAACAATGTTTATATACAGTACAGTACATAAGAATACATGAACAGTACAGTAGTAATATATAACTTAACATAGTAATATTAAACAGAGAAGCCAATGAAGAAAATTATTAGTAATAAATGTTCTCAGTAAGATATTATTCATTCTTATATCTTTATATGATACAGTGGACCCCCGGTTATCGTAATTAATCCGTTCCTGAGAAAGTGACTAAACCCAAATCTGATGATTTCCGAATTCATTTTCCCAACAAGAAATAATGTAAATCCAATTAATCTGTTCCAAACACCCAAAAGTATTAAAAAAAAAAATTTTTTTTACATGAAATATACCTTTACTTACACAGAAAACAATGAGACATGCAGAATAAAATGACACCTTTACTGAAGACTTGTTGATGTAAGGAAGATGGGAGAAGGGAAGAGGATGGAGGAGTTACGCTTGTTTGGAAGGGAAATCCCCTTCCATAAAGACTTCAGGTCCCAAGTCCTTTTCTGGGGTTACTTCCCTTCTTTGTTTTTTAATGCCACTAGGACCAGCTTGAGAGTCACTGGACCCCTGTTGCTCAAAAAAGTGTTCTAGAGAGGTCTGTTTCTGGTGTATGTTAGGAATTGTGGTGGCAGCAGGGGAGTGTTAGGAGACAGGACAAGATAGTCCTGCAATATGACACTAATATCAACTCTACAGCTTATTTATCTAGCACAATTCACCTAATATGACATAATAAACAATATTAATAGCATAGAAACATGATATATACTCTAGAACGAGTAAAATATGTCATATGTCTCTCTCCCTGACCGACGAGCGTTGTGTTATTTGTTGTTGGGTGTATAAGAGCCACTGAAAGATAAGCCTTACATAGTGGTAGTGAAGGTGGCAGCAAGAGGCAGCGGTGTTAGCCAGTAGCCCTATATATCAATTAAGCGCTTAACTTACTTGCTACACTTTATCGCTGGCTAGTGCTATAGCCTTTATCAACTCCTCCTGCTTTAGTATTGTACATATCGCAGAATAACTGAAGAAATCATATTCTCTCCTCTCTCTCAGCCCTTTAGCAAAGGGCTGGCTGGCACTAGGAACTTCCTTGGGGCCCATGGTGGCTTATTTAGTAGTTGCAAGCACTAAAAAGAATGGAATAATACGAAGTGTATCGTATGAATACGTGGGATCATGCTAACTGCCTGATAAACAATGGCACACTGAGTGTGGGGGCCACTGTTGCTGTGTGGACGCATTCGGGACGAATGACTATTACCAAGCTCAATGACGATCACCGAGCCAATATTTTGACGAAAAAATGTTACTATTTGTGAATATTATGGAATCTGACGACTACAACATCCGGGGGTCCACTGTACTACGTAATTTCGCCAACTCTGATCCTTCAAACAAAGCACAAACATAATACTTCAGAAAGTAGTCCCTTCACCTTTAAAAATGGAATCAAAGTAAGGGGAACAAGCAGCCAGTACACAGCGATGAGCTTGGAATTGTTTGCCAGCCACATGGAGGATAACATCACAGCACCGGACGAGTTCACGCTGACTTCGTAACTTTTCCAGCACAGCAGTGCCATGCTGGTTCTCTGTGAATGTCATGGCATTGTTGGGAAGAAGAGTCAGTGCCATTGCTAGTGGCTCACACTGACCTGAGATAAAAAAAAAAGTACGTATAGGGATTACTATTATTTCTAGATTAAGTTTTAACAAAATGCTTTGCATTTTAAGCAGTAAAGTAATTCTAAGTTCAAGTTTTAATCTGACTGAAATGCTCTGCATAACCAGGATCTTTCCACAATGTATGTATGAAATATGCAGCTCTCACATATGTTTGCAAATTTTAAATACAATAGATATATCACACTCATAAAGATTAGTAAATTGCAATACATGAAGCATTCCTTACTTGATTTTGTAACATATTTTGCCTTTCTAGCAAGCACCTGGTTGGCTAATATGATATGGGCTTCAACACTCCAACTCACACATATATACAGCCTCTCCTCACTTAATGACAGAGTTCGGTTCTCAAGACAACATTGGTAAACAAATTCGTCGCTAAGTGAGAAGCATACTATAATGGTAATGGGTTTGTATCAATCATCTTTGATATTGTGTTAATGTCACCTTTGCACCATTTATAACATTTCTGGTATATTTTTAACCCTCAAACTGTCCAAACGTAGATCTATGTTTTTTCAACATTTGAAAGTATGTATGTAAAAAAACGTAGAGCTTCTTTTTCTTTTTTTACATTTGAAAACTTGTAAAAAAACTTTGATCTACATTTTTTTTTGTTACATTTGAAAATATGTTAAAAAACGTAGATCTACTTTTGGAGCACTACGCATGTGAACGTAGGTCTGTTTGGACAGTTTAAGGGTTAAATGTTTATATTGTAGTGTACTGTATATTGTAATAAACAGAGTAGAGGAAATTAGCTCTATTATACATTATTTAGGTATGCATACTGGTGAGAGAGCCCGTCGTAGGTTCTAGTCATCGGTAAATGAGTATGTTGTTAAGTGAGGAGAGGCTGTAGTCAGTTCCACAAACCTGCTTTGTGCAGATGTTTATCCAGACTAGATCAGCATATAGTCACAGTACATGCCCTGACTGTATGATCATTTGTGGTTTATACCCATTGCTAAATCTTGACCCTTACCACTTTTTGGACATGTGGAAGTATATAACTGCACAATTTCATTATTTAGCCCAAGCTAAGAACCCAAATAACAACATAATCCCACCACTTAATTATTTACCCTAAATTCTAAATTAGAATACATATTATATTTACAAAAAAACCCACTAAATCTGTGAGGGGCATTCAGCAATGCATTGGACTGCATAACAATGTAGATACTCAGTATAATTCAACATTAATAATTATAAGCGATAAAAATAATAACTTTATAAATTAGGCAAAATCATTGATGCCTTGCCAGCTCTGCAGGTATACAAACATATTACACACACACACACACACACACACACACACACACACACACACACACACACACACACACACACACACACACACTGTAAGTGCCGGTAAGTCCCAGGAGGTTGGGGGTCAGGTCACAAGAAGGTGTGGGCAGCCAAGGACCACTGAGACTTACCTTAAACGCACAAGCCACCTACCTTTCAGTACATAATAAACCCACACATAATTCCACACACAACTACACACAAAATTACACACACACACACACACACACACACACACACACACACACACACACACACACATACCAGACACACATACACTCCCCCCCTCACCACCGACATCTCACTACTTCCCCTGATCCCTCCCCTCCTCGATCACCCTCCCCACCCCACCCCCCACTCAGCTCCCACATAGCCACAGTTCCTCCACTACTTCCCCCCCCCCCCACACTCTGACATACACACTACTAACCTAACATACAGAACTACATAGGTTTCCCACTCTGAGGCAATCAGGATAAAACAAAAATGGGTTGCCAGAGAGCAACAAGAAAAACCAAGGGACAGGAGGAGGAAAATGCAAAGGAAGATTGGACAGCAGAGCTCATAAAAAAGGGATCATGAATGGGAAAAGAAACTAGAAGAACTTAGGCATGAGAATGGAAGAGAGGATAGATATGGAATGCAGGAAGTGGGAGGTGCATGTCAAAGCAGCAGAAGCTAGGATACAGAGTTTAGAAAGGAATTGAAAAATCTGAAACAGCCTAAAGAACTAAAGAACATTTTGGGATTGACAACAGAGACTGCTACCTCAGCCACAAATAAGGGGACTGTAGGGAAAGAAGGGGCACAACTGCATGGAGATGCTCTATCAGAGGAGACTGTAGCAAATGAAAGAGCTAAGCTTTATGTGGAGGCCCTAACAGACAACAACAGAGCCCAAGGAAAGCCGAGAAGGGAAAATGACAGGCCACTGAGCCCAAGTACATTAGCCAGTGAAACTGATGAAAGGAAAGCTGCAGTGGAGGAAACCAAATTAAATGAGGGGATACACAGGGATATGCAGTGGGAGAATGAAAGGGTGAGGTCAGTCTTTGTGTAGGGCTCCAGGAAGTCGAAGGGAAACATATGAAGCAAGAAAACAAGGGGAAAAAAAAGCAATTGAAAGCATCATGAAAGCAATAGGAGAAGACGATATGACCCAGCTGGAAAATTTTCGGAGAATAGGGGGGTTTGTAAAAAAAAGAACCCGGCCAGTGAGAGTGACCTTCAAGGCAGAAGCGACTCGGACCAGGATCCTGCAGGAGAAAGCACGATTAAGGGACATGACGGCATACAGGAAGGTGCATTTCGACCGCGACAGAACACAAGAAGAAAGGAAGAAACTGAGAGAGATGGTACAAAGGCGAAAGGAGGAAAGAGAGGGGATGGAGAAGACAGACGGAGATCCCAGACCCAGGAAGAATCAAATACAGCCTCCCTCACAACTTCCTATAGAAGCCTCCCAACCAGGTCAACCCCAGTGCAACCAAACACTCTAAATCAAAACTCCCATGCCACATCCAATGCCCCCACCCACTACATTACAAACTCCACCCCCACAGCAACAACCCATAGTTCCTTACCAGGTCTCCCATTTCCACAACCCCAATATACCTCCCAGACCACAGTCTTAGAAAAGAAGTTGAAGGTGTGGTATACAAATGCAGACGGAATAACAAACAAGTATGAGGAGTGGCACGAAAGAATCAAAGAGACATCCCCAGACATAATAGCACTCACAGAAACAAAACTCACCAGAATAATAACAGATTCAATCTTTCCATCCGGATATCAAATCCTCAGGAAAGACAGAGGGAGGAGAGGGGGAGGAGGAGTTGCACTACTCATTAAAAACCAGTGGGGTTTTGAGAAAATGGAAGGAATGGATGGCATGGGCGAAAGGGACTACTTAGTAGGAACAATCCATCTGAGGGACATAAGGTGATAATTGCAGTAATGTACAACCCACCACAGAACTGCAGGAGGCCAAGAGAAGAATAGGATGAGAGCAACAGAGCAATGATCGACACACTAGCTGAGGTGGCCAGGAGAGCACACATAGGGGGAGCAAAGTTACTAGTTATGGGTGATTTCAATCACAAGGAGATTGACTGGGAAAACCTGGAGCCCCATGGGGGTCCCAAAACATGGAGAGCCAAGATGATGGATGTGGTACTGGAGAACCTCATGCATCAACATGTTAGAGACACTACCAGAGAGAGAGGAGAGGATGAACCAGCAAGGTTGGACCTTGTATTCACCATGAGTAGTTCGAGACATCGGGGTATCATGTATGAAATGGCCCCTGGGAGCTAGTGATCATGTGGTATCTGTGCTTCGACTACATAGTTGACTCCAAGTGGAGAGAGTAGTCAGAATAGGCTGGGAAAAACCAAACTACAAAAGGGGGAACTACTCAGCATGAGGAACTTCCTTCAAGACATTCAGTGGGAGAGGGAACTGACAGGAAAAACCAGTACAAGAAATGATGGACTATGTAGCAACAAAATGCAAGAGCAGAGGAGAGGTTTGTTCCCAAGGGAAACAGAAATAATGGGAAGAACAGAACGAGTCCTTGGTTCACCCAAAGGTGTAGGGAGGCAAAAACTAGGTGTACTAGAGAATGGAAAAGGTACAGAAGACAGAGAACTCAGGAAAATAAAGAAATCAGCGGAAGAGCCAGAAACGAATATGCACAGATAAGAAGGGAGGCTCAAGACAATATGAAAATGACATAGCATCAAAAGTAAAGACTGACCCGAAGCTGTTGTACAGCCACATCAGGAGGAAAACAACAGTCAAGGACCAGGTAATCAGACTGAGGAAGGGTGATGGGGAATTCACAAGAAACGACCGAGAGGTATGTCAGGAGCTCAACACAAGATTTAAAGAGGTATTTACAGTGGAAACCATAGGACTCCAAGAAATCAGAACAGGGGGGCACACCAGCAAGTGCTAGATGAGGTACATATAACCAAGGAGGAGGTGAAGAAGCTGCTATGCGAACTTGACACCTCAAAGGCGGTGGGACCAGACAACATCTCTCCAGGGGTCCTTAAAGGGGGAGCAGAGATATTGTGTGAGCCATTAACAAAGATCTTCAACACATCATTTGAAACTGGGCAACTCCCGAAGTATGGAAAATGGCAAATGTAGTCCCAATTTTTAAAAAGGGAGACAACATGAGGCACTAAACTACAACCTGTAACACTAACTGTATAGTAAGCAAGGTCATGAGAAGATCATCAGAGGAGAGTGTGGGGCACCTGGAAAGAAACAAGTGTATAATTGACAACCAGCACGGTTTCAGGGAAGGAAAATTCCTGTGTCACAAACCTACTAGAGTTTTATGACAAGGTGACAGAAGTAAGACAAGAGAGAGAGGGTGGATCGACTGCGTATTTTTGGACTGCAAGAAGGCCTTCGACACAGTTCCTCACAAAGGTTACTGCAAAAGCTAGAGGACCAGGCACACATAACAGGAAAGGCACTGCAATGGGTCAGAGAATATCTTACAGGAGGCAACAACGAGTCATGGTACGCGACGAGGTGTCCAGAGTGGGCGCCTGTGACAAGCGGGGTTCCACAGGGGTCAGTCCTAGGACCTGTTTCTGTTCTTGGTATACGTGAACGACATAACGGAAGGGATAGACTCAGAAGTGTCCTTGTTTGCAGATGATGTGAAGTTAATGAGAAGAATCAAATCGGACGAGGATCAGCAGGACTACAAAGAGACCTGGGCAGGCTACAAGCCTGGTCCAGCAACTGGCTCCTTGAATTTAAACCCTGCCAAATGCAAAGTCATGAAGATTGGGGAAGGGCAAAGAAGACCGCACACACAATATAGATTAGATGGCCAAAGACTGCAAACCTCACTCAAGGAAAAAGACTGGGGTGAGTAAAACACCGAACATATCTCCTGAGGCGCACATCAATCAGATAACTGCTGCAGCATACGGGCGCCTTGGCAA